AAATTCAAATATTTTTTCTAAAGAAAATTTTCCAAATTTTTTCTAAAGAAAAAAATCAGAATTTTTAAAAGGATAAATTTTGTCAAGAAAAGTCAGATTTGTTTCTAAAGTAAAAAAATCGACATTTTCTTTTAAAGAAAAAACTTTTGTTTTTCTAAGGAAAAAATTGAATTTTTTTTATGAAAAACGTCACAATTTTTTTTCGAAAAATGTTTTTAAAGAAATAAATGCACAATTTTCTGTAAAGAAAAAATTCGCAATTTTTTTCTAAAGAAATAATGCACAATTTTTGCTGAAGAAAAAATCCGATTTTTTTATAGGAAAAAATTCAATTCAAAATTCCTTAAAGAAAAAATTAAAATTTTTTTTCTAAGAAAAAAATTACAATTTTTTTTAAAGAAAATATTCAATTTTTTTCTAAAGAAAAAATATTAGAGTTTTTTAATAAAAAAAAATATTTCAAATTTTGTCTAAAGGAAAAAATTAATTTTTTTTACCAGTTGGAAAATTCGATTAAAATGGAAATGATGGAAAAGCTACATCAGAGAACTTAAAAACAATCAAAATCCAATTCAAATCCCTGATGATGTCTATCGATAATAGTCGAAATATCGGAAAAATAAATTAAAATACAAAAAAAAGAACCAAATTCGTCTGTTTTTTTTTTTAAATTCTGACCTCAAGCCAAACGAAAAACCAGAAGAAAATATATTGATCAAAGGTCAACAATAACTATACAAAAAAAATTTGATTTTTTTCTCTTTAGAAAAAATTCTAATTTAAACAAAATACATTTTTTTTTAATTTTTCAATTTCTTCCTACAAAAATTCTGCTTCTCTTAAAACTATTTTTTACAGTCCCTCCACCCTGCTTATCTCCTATAAAAAATTATCTCAACATGTTTCGGTAGATTTTTACACGTGCCAATAATGCGTTATCTCAAACATCACTTTAATATCTATGACGTAGATGTATTTTTGTTGTGGAATTTCACAATTTCATATCAATGCACAGTGGCTCAAGAAAGAATATTAATTTCTACATTATTATGGCTCTAAGGACCCTGAAAAAAAACAATTATTTTATTCATGACACCAGAAGAACATGTTTTTTGTAATCTACGATCTGATGACCCTTCAGAAAATATTTCTCTTTTTTTCAAAATCCACGATCTTCTGTATCGCAACTCTTCTTCTTGTTAACCACTGTATCACGCACAAATTACCATCCAAACTCGCGAGACGCTTGTAAAACCGGCAATAACTGAATTCCTCCGAATTTTGTTATGTTTACTGTTTTTTGTAATAACTGAAATGTTTAGTGTCATCGCTTCTCTGCTTAGCATGTCTTATCTGATTTTAGGTAAAATCAACAACAAGCAACAGTGCGTTCCCAATATATGTCATCGTCAGCAAACTGAGAAAATTGTGGATTTTTTTAATTTTTTTTTTTTTCAAGGCAGCGGAAAATATGGGTTTTTTTGTAAAAATATTTTAAAGGAAATATAAACTTTTTTTCAAATTTGTTTTTACAAAAAATAAATCGATCTTATAAATGTGATTTTTTGAAAACTAATTTTTTAAAAATATTTCCCAAAAATATTTCAAACGTGTAATTTTTTAAAAATTGTTTATGATTTTTTTTATTTAAAAAACAAATATTAAAAAAATATTTTTAAACATATTTTTTAAATATTTTGTAAAACATTTATTTTTAATATTTTTTAAAGTATTTTTTTAATATTCTTTAAAATATTTTTTAAGGATAAAAGCAACTGTGAATTTTTTTTTTAAATATTATTAATATACTTATATGAGTTTATATTTTGTATAATTTTGAATATAATTTATACAGGGTGAGATGGAAAAAACCGCAATCAACTTCAGACTGCTGTCATTTCTAAGCCACTCCTCCGACAGCTGTTAAAATTATTCCAGTGACAGCTCATTATATTGTTTACAAGCGTACAAAAGCATTTTGGTGAGAATTTTCCAGAAAAAAAGTTATTCGTGAGTTCGGAATTCAAGCGTGATCGGGTGATTTCTTGATATTTGGCTGGAAAACCACAAGTGGCTATGGCTTTCGTTAGAGGACTCCAGCACTTAAATGTGAATAAATCTTTTGTGTCTCGTACCATCGCTCGTTACCGTGATACTAGTAGCGTAGCGTAGTCCGACGTCAAGGAAGTAGACGGAAGACAACACCAACATCAGCAGATATGCTACGAAAAGTAAAGAAGCGACGTGGTCGAAGCCCGCATCGCAGTGGCCGAAAAATGGCTCGTGAGCTGAACATATCGTAATATTCCATATTCCGTTCGGCAAATATTGAAAAATCGCAGGAGCTCGGGGTAAAGCCATTGAAATTCAAAAAAGTGCAAGAACTTACGCCGCAACAGAAAGAAAATAGACTCAAAAGAGCTAAGGAGTTCCTTCGCTTGGTCGAAAATGGTGAACTGCCGAATTTGGTTTTATCAATCCCATTCGACAAATATTGAAAAATTAGTTCGGGGTTAACCCATTGAAATTCCAAAAAGTGCAAGAACTCACACCGCAACAGAAAGAAAATAGACTTAAAAGAGCTAAAGAGTTGCTTCGCTTCACTTGGCCGAAAGTTGTGAACTGACGAATTTGATTTTCTCTCTCTCTCTCTCTCTCTCTCTCTCCGATGAGAAAACATTCGTTGTTCAGTAGTTTGTAAACAAACAAAATGATCGATCGTGTTTACTTGCCAAAGAGGTCAGCTGAAAATGTGCACCTTCGGTTGCCCACTAGAACAAAACTCAAGCGCCGGCCATGGTGATGGTGTGGGCCGCCATAACAGCAGATGGTCGCTCTCCGCTCGTATTAATCGACCATGGCATCAGAATAAATGCCGAATATTTTTGGGAAAATATTGTGGAGGGTGTATAAAAAGCCTAGGGCACGCAAACATTTTGGCTGCATACCCTGGACATTCCAACAGGACACCATCGCACTCAGCACACGGCACCCAAAAATGGTTACAAACTGAGGTTCCTCGCTTCATTTCCAGCACACAATGGCCCCCTAAAAAAATGGTTACAAACTGAGGTTCCTCGCTTCATTTCCAGCACACAATGGCCCCCTAAAATCTCCGGATACCAATCCGTTGGACTATTGTGTCTGGAGTAATTTGGAAAGCAAGGTTGGTACTAAAAAATACCAAGGTGTCGGTCACCTCAAGCAAGCGCTTCGCTGGGAATGGGCCAAAATACCGCAGAGCAACATTCGGGCAGTGTGTGACGGTTTCATTGGCCGTTTGAAGGCGGGTTAAAAATTCTGTTAAAATCTTAAAAAAAACCCGAATGTAGCAGTTATATTAGGGTCTATACGACGACATGGACCTGCATAGGTAACTTTTGTCACAAGCCATTACAATATTCAAATGCGAAATTGAAAAAAAAAAATCGGTGAAAAATGTTGCTAAAATTATCAAAATACCGAATATCGGGAGGTACAGTTATATGGGGGCTATGCGAAGACGTGGACCTGCCCAGACAATTTTCTGTCTTAGGCTGTAGCTTTCATTTCGAACTTCAAATACCAAATTTGAAATAGTTCCTGTAAATAATGTCGCTAAAATCATCAAAATACCGAATATCGGGAGGTACCGTTATATGGGGGCCATACGAAGACGTGGTCCTACACAGACAATTTTCTGTCGTAGGCTGTAGCTTTCATTTCAAATACCAAATTTGAAACAATTCCGATGAATAAGTCGCTAAAATCATCAAAATACCGTATATAGGGAGGTACCGTTATATGGGGGCTATGCGAAGACGTGGACCTGCCCAGACAATTTTCTGTCTTAGGCTGTAGCTTTCATTTCGAACTTCAAATACCAAATTTGAAACAATTCCGATGAATAATGTTGCTAAAATCATCAAAATACCTAATATCGGGAAGTACAGTTATATGGGGGCTATACGAAGACGTGGACCTACACAGACAATTTTCTGTCTAAGGCTGTAGTATTCATTTCGAACTTCAAATACCAAATTTGAAAGAATTCCGGTGAATAATGTCGCTAAAATCATCAAAATACCGAATATCAGGAGGTACCGTTCTATGGGGGCTATATCAAAACGTGGTCCTACATGGTTCATTTTCAATACCAAAAGTCCTGCAGATATGGTACACATTTGAGTAAAATTTTATCAATCTACTTCAATTCGTTTGGAAGTTAGAGTGATTTCGACAGACGGATAGACGGACGGACATCGCTAAATCGTTATAGAATTTTATGCTGATCAAGAATATATATACCTTGTGGGGTCTTATATGTATATTTCGAGATGTTAGAAACGGAATGACAAACTTAATATACCCTCCATACTATGGCGGAGGCGTTTGACTTTGTTACAGTTTTTTTTTATCTCACCCCGTATAAGCACTGATTTTTCGATGTCAAATATAAAGAGATATTTTTACATATATCCATATTGCCCTGTATTTCATAATCTCTGTTAATTTCCATCATCTCTTTTTCTTGGGGATTTGCAAAAATGCCAAGAAAAAGAAACCCCCAAACGTGATCATGACTCAACTTGCTGTTTGCACCAAAATAAAACTGTAGTTTTTTTTTCTCTTGTCTCTCTCTCTCTCTCTTGTCAGCCTCTCAATTCAAAGCACTCTTTTGTGGGGATTTACCATTGATGCGACACTGGACTATGTGACGTCACAACTATAACTACAAAAACAAGATTTCTTCAAAAACAAATTAAATATAAATCAATTTATTTTTATCCAGAAACAAAAAATAAAAAAAAAAACAAAGTAAAGTAAAGAACAAAGCTTTTGGATTTCTGTAAAGGTTAACTAAAACGTTTGCCACTGCTGCTGCTGTTGGCTTGATTTGGCCTGATCTCAATATTGTTGCTATTTCATTGTCATTGTTGTTGTAGTAGTAGTAGTTGTTGTTGCTGTTTTTTTTTTTGTTACAAGATTTGGAAAGGAAACAACGTTGCTGCATGGTTCAGCGTTGGGGTTTATTCTAAATGCTCCCCCAAGTCAAAGGCGCATTCACAAAACGGTAACCGGCGCGTGTGGTTCGCTTAGCTCGCATTGGAATTTTGGATAATAAATTGGCTCAAACTGAATCAAAAAGCAACTAAACTGTGATAAAATAAAAATAAAAAAATCCCCAAACAAAAACATATTTAACAAGAATAGCTTGAAAACAACTATTTTAATTAACAAATAATATTTAAAAAAAAAACAACAAAGAAAAAAAACAATAAAAATCAGCAGCAACATGTCGTGCAATAATGAAGGTATGTTGGAGTATTGAAGTTTTGCTTTTGCAAAAAAAAAACGTGTTCAATTATTGTTCGGAATCCAATGAGATAAGGAAGTCATATATGTAAAGTGATAGTTTTGTAGAGAGAAAAAAAATAAATCTCAAGCAGCTGGCCCTTGAAAAAAAAATAATTTAAAAAATACGGAATTGCAAAAAAATATACAATAATGAAAAAATATATTACATTCAAAAAAAAATATTTTCGAATAATCAATCAAATTACAGATATGAAAAAATATATTTTTCAAAATATCTACAGATGCAAATCCCACGAAACAATATTTTATACAAAAATGTTTAACATTTTAATAAAAAAGATTAAAACTAATTTTTAGGAGTTTTTAGGAAAATATATATTTTTTAAATATTTTCCTATTTTTTTTTTTTTTTTTTTTTTTTTTTGGAAAACAAATTTTTAGGAGTTTTTAGGAAAATATATATTTTTTAAATATGTTCCTAATTTTTTTGATGTAGAGAAAAAAAATTAAGAAGCAGGCCTTTAAATTTTTTTTTTTAAAATACGGAATTGAAAAAAAAAAAAAAAATAAAAAAACATGGACCTCCATAGACAACTTTTGTCATATTCATATTCAGATGCGAAACTTGAAAAAAAAATTGGGAGTAATGTGGCTAAAATCATCAAAATACTGAATATAGGGAGGTACCGTTATATGGGAGCTATACGAAGACGTGGACCTGCACAGACAATTTTCTGTCTTAGGTTGTAGTATCCATTTCGAACTTCAAATACCAAATTTGAAAGAATTCCCGTGAATAATGTCGCTAAAATCATCAAAGCACCGAATATCGGAAGGTACCGTTATATGAGGGCTATACGAAGACCTGTACCTTCATAGACAATTTTCTGTCACAGACTGTAGTTTTCATTACGAACTCTAAATACGTAATTTCAAAGAATTCCGATGAATAAGGTCGCTAAAATCATCAAAATACAGAATATCGGTAGGTACCGTTATATGGGGGCTATACGAAGACGTGGATCTGTACAGATAATTTTCTGTCTTAGTTTGCACTATCCATTACGAAGTTCAAATACCCAATTTGAAACAATTTCGGAGAATAATGTAGTAAATATCATCAAAATACCAAATATCGGGAGATACCGTTATATGGGGGCTATACGAAGACTTGGACCTACATGACCCATTTTCTGTCTTATGGTGAAGTATCCATTACGAACTTCAAATGCCAAATTTAAAAGAATTCCGATGAACAATGCCGCTAAAATCATCAAACTTCCGAATGTCGGAAGGTACCGTTATATGGGGGCTATATGAAGACTTGGGCCTGCATACACAATTTTTCGTCATAGGCTATAGCACCCATTACGAACTTCAAATGCCAAAGTTGAAAGAATTCAGATGAATAATGCCGAATATCGGGAGGTGCCGTTATATGGGGGCTATACCAAAACGTGGACCTACATGGCCCATTTTCAATACCAAAAGTCCTGCAGACATAATATACATTTGAGTAAAATTTTATCAATCTACTCCAATTCGTTCGGAAGCTAGAGTGATTTCCACAGGCGGACGGACATCGCTAAATCGACATAGAATTTTATGCTGATCAAGAATATATTTACCTTGTGAGGTCTAAAATGTTTATTTCGAGGTGTTACAAACAGAATGACAAACTTAATGTACCCTCCATACTATGGTGGAGGATATATTAAAATAAATCTTAAGCAGCTGGCCCTTGAAAAAAAAAAACAAACTCTTCAAAAAATACGGAATTGCAAACAAAAAAACAGTATTGGAAAAAAAAATATTACATTTAAAAAAATTTTGAAAAAAATTTTTTTTAAATATCTACAAATGCAAATTCCTCAAAACAATATTTTATAAAATAATGTATAACTTTTTTTTATAAAAAATATTAAAAAAAAAACATTTTTGAGGTTTTAGAAAAAAATATATATTTTTAAATCAATATTTAAATATTTTTTGGAAAAATATAATTTTTTTAATTCGTTAGAAGTTTATTTGTTGGAAGCTTATTTAATATGTAATATTTTTAAAATTCACCTATGATGTTTATTTTAAAAAAAGATTTTTTTTTAATTTGCGTTGGAAGCTTTTTTAAGAACTTTTTTTTTTAATCCACGTTTGATGTAGAAAAGAATAAGGAGCAGGCTTTTAAAAAAAATTCTATAAAAAATACGGAGTTGAAAAACAAGACAAAATTTAAAAATTATATATTTTATTTGAAAAAACACAAAAATATTTTACAAAAATCACCTTTTGTAAACCCCTTGAAAAAATATTTTTTGAACTATCCACGAACGCATATCCCTCGAAACAATTTTTAAAAAAAGGCGTCTAACATTTGAAAAAAATATTTTCGAATAATCAATCAAATTACAGACTTGAAAAAATATTTTTTAAAATATCTACAAATGAAAATCCCTCGAAAAAAATATTTTATAAAATAATGTATAATTTTTTTTTATAAAAAATATTAAAAAAAATTTTTTTTTGAGTTTTTAGAAAAATATATATTTTTTAAATCATTATTTAAATATTTTATTGAAAAAATATATATATTTTTTTAATTTTTTAAAAGTTTTTTGGGAGCCTATTTAATGTGTAATATTTTTAAAATTCGCCTATGAAGCTTTTATTAAAAAATGTTTTTTTTAATGGAAACTTTTTTAAAATGTTATTTTTTTAAATCCACGTTTGATGTAGAAAAAAATTGGGAGCAGGCCTTTAAAAAAAATCTTTAAAAAAATACGGAGTTGAAAAACAAGACAAAATTTAAAAATTATAAATTTCATTTGAAAAAAAAAATATATATTTTACAAAAATCACCTTTTGTTAACCCCTTGAAAAAAATTTTTGATCTATCCACGAACGCAAATCCCTCGAAACAATTTTTAAAAAAAGGCGTCTAAAATTTTTATTTTTTTACCCTCCATAGAATTGTGGATTATATTAACTTTGTCATTCCCTTTGTAACTCCTCGAAATATTTATAATAGACCCTACAAAGTATTCATGTTCTGGATCAGCATAAAATTCTAAGACGATCTGGCGATGTCCGCAATCATCAATCTCTTGCAATCACGCTATTTATCGAACGAATTGAGATAGAAGGTTAAAATTTTGCACACATGTTTATTTTTCCAGTAGGCAGGATAAGTTCGTAAATGGGCCATGTCGGTCCACGTTTTCGTATAGCCCTCATATAACGGTACCTCCCGATATTCGGTATTTTTGATGATTTTAGTGACGTTATTTACCGGAATCGTTTCAAATTTGGTATTTGAAGATCGAAATGGATACTACATAGGAAGCAGTAGTCCAAACACTAAATTTGAAATAATTCTATTGAAATGTGTGACCCAAATCCGGCCCAAAAATGTGACTAAATTTTTCCAAAAGACCACAAAACGGCCGGTAGAGTTATATAGAGGCTATGGGCTTATTACGAACTCAAAACGTCAAGTTTGAAGGCAATTTTTTAGTCATAGGTAGCAGCAGCCATCAGGAAGTCCAAATACCGAATTTGAAAAAATTTCTTTGAAATGTGTGACCCAAATCCGGCCGAAAATTGTGACTAAATTTTACCAAAATACCACTAAATGGCCGGTACAGTTATATAGGGGCTGTGGGCTTATTACGAACTCAAAACTTCAATTTTCAGAGCCACTTTTCAGTCATAGGTCCAAATACCAAATTTGAAATAATTCTATTGAAATGCGAGACCCAAATCCGACCTAAAATTGTGACTAAATTTTACCAAAAGACCACAAAACGGCCGGTACAGTTATATAGGGTCTGTGGGCTTATTACGAACTCAAAACGTCAAGTTTGGTAGGCAATTTTTCAGACATCGGAAGCAGTACCCATTACGAACTGCAAATATTAAATTTTGCATACATGCATGCATTTTGCATACATGCATAGTTTACCAGTAGGCAGGTTAAGTTCGTAAATGGACCATGTCGGTCCACGTTTTCGTATAGCCCTCATATAACGGTACCTCCCGATATTCGGTATTTATGATGATTTTAGTGACGTTATTTACCGGAATCGTTTCAAATTTGGTATTTGAAGTTCGAAATGGATACTACAGCCTAAGGCAGAAAATTGTCTATGCAGGTCCACGTCTTCGTATAGCTCCCATATACCGTACCCCCCGATATACGGTATTTTCATGATTTTCGCGATGGTATTTACCAGAATTATTTCAAATTTCGTATATGCAGTTCGTAATGGATACTACAGCCTAAGACAGAAAATTGCCCGTGCAGGTCCACGTCTTCATATAGGCCCCATATATCAGTACCTTCCTTATATTCGGTATTTTGACGAATTTAGGTACAATACCCACCGAAATTGTTTCTGATCTCGTATTTGAAGTTCGTAATGGATGCTACATCCTATGACCGAAAATTGTCTATGCTGGTCCAGGTCTTCGCACAGCTCCGCTATAACGATATTTTGATGATTTTAGCTACATTATTCACCGTTTATTTCAAGTTTCGAATTTGAATTTGGTAATGACTTATGACAAACAATGCCTATGTAGGTCCACGTCGTATAAACACCAATATAACGACTATATTCGGCATTTTTTAAAATTTTTACAGAATTTTTTTAAGGATTTTATTTCCAAATTCGTTCAAAATGGTGGAGGGTATTCAACTTGTTACTTTTAAATTTCGTTTGAATGAAAGCAAAAAATGTCGGAAATAGCATACAATTTTGGAATAAGTTTAGATCTGTTCGAATTGGTCATCTTTGGCACGAATTATGGCCTTTAAACGGCCAATGAAACCGTCACACGCTGCCCGAATGTTGCTCTGCGGCCCATTTTGGCCCATTCCCAGTGAAGCGCTTGCTTGAGGTGATCGACACTTTGGTATTTTTTAGTGCCAACCTTGATTTCCCAAAATACTCCAGACACAATAGTCCAACGGATTGGCATCCGGAGATTTTAGGGGGTCATTGTGCGCTGGAAATGAAGCGAGGAACCTTATTTTGTAACCATTCTTGGGTGGCGCGTGCTGAGTGCGATGGTGCTGAGTCCTGTTGTAATGTCTAAGGTCTGCGGCCAAAATGTTTGCGAGACCAAGGCTTTCTATACAGCCTCCAGAATATTTTTCGCAATAATATTCGGCATTTATTCTGATGCCACGGTTGATTAATACGGGCGGAGAGCGACCATCGGCTGTTATGGCGGCCCACACCATCACCATGGCCGGCGCTTGAGTTCTGTTCTGGTGGCCAACCGAAGGTGCACATTTTCAGCCGACCCCTTTGGCAAGTAAACACGATCGATCATTTTGTTTGTTTACAAACTGCTGGATAACAAATGTTTTCTCATCAGAGAGAGAGAGAGAGAGAGAGAGAGAGAGAGAGAGAGAGAGAGAGAGAGATAGAGAGAGAGAGAGAGAGAAAACCAAATTCAGCAGTTCACCACTTTCGGCCAAGCAAAGCAACTCTTTTGGGTCTATTTTCTTTCTGTTGCACTGTAATTTCTTGCACTTTTTGGAATTTTAATTACCTTACCCCGATTTTTTAATATTTGCCGAATGGAATATTGCAATATGTTCAGCTCACGAGCCATTTTTTCGGCCATTGCGACGCAGGTTTCGATCAAGCCGCTTCTTTACTTTTCGTAGCATTTCTGCTGATGTTGCTGTTTTCTTCCGTCCACTTCCACTTCCTTAACGTCGGGCTACGCTACCAGTATCACGATAACGAGCGAGAGGTACGAGACCCAAAATATTTATTCACATTTAAATGCTGAAGTGCTCTAACGATAGCCACTTGTGGTTTTCCAGCCAAATTTAAAAGAAATCACACTATCACGCTTGAATTCCGAACCACGAATAACTTTTTTTCTGGAAAATTCTCACCAATATGCTTTTGTGGGCTTTTAAACAATCGAATGAGCTGTCACTGGGATAATTTTAACAGCTGTCGGACGAGAGTGGCTTAGAAATGTCAGCAGTCTGAAGTTGGTTGCAGTTTTGTCATCTCACCCTGAATTTCCTCAAAATCCACGTTTCAGTTTTGTTTAAAATCCATGCTTCAAATTTCAATGGAAAACCCAAGTTTTTTTGAAATCCACGTTTGAAAAAAAAAATAATTTTCTTTAATTTTTCGCTCGGAAAAATAATATTTTTTAAACAAGAAAAAAAGGCAGCTAAGTTCTGCCGCTATTTTGGAGGGACTTATTTAAAAAAATCCCAATAACTTGTGTTTTTGTTGTATTGGGTTATACGAAAACGTGAACCTCTACATCCCATACTCTGCCAGAGAAGATTCTGCCAATTAAGAACTAAAAAAAATAAATTAATAAATAAATTAATTCCACCAGAGCTGGAACCCATTATGACCAACAAATACCAATTTTTAGACAAATCCGTGAAAAAAAAAAATGTGACAAAAAAAATTAAAATACCGAATATCGGGAGGTACCTTTATATGGGGGCTATACCAAAACGTGGATCTATACATGCAATGTTTTGCCACAAGCACAGGGACTCGTTATGACCTACAAATACCAATTTTCAGACAAACCCGTAAAAAAAATGTGGCATATATCATCAAAATACCGAATATCGGGAGGTACCGTTATATGGGGACTATACCAGAACGTGGACCGATATATCTCATTTTCAATACCAACCATCCTAGAAAAAACTTAGACCTATATAGAAAGTTCTATGCGAGGATGTTACCAAATCCGGCATAAAATTGTGACTAAACTTTACCAAAAGACCACAAAACGGCCAGTACAGTTATATAGGGGCTGTGGGCTTATTACGAACTCAAAACGTCAAGTTTGACTGGCAATTATTCAGTCATAGGAAGCAGTAACCATTACGAACTGCAAATACCAAATTTGAAATAATTCTGTTAAAATATGTGACCCAAATCCGGCCTAAAATTGTGACCAAATTTTACCAAAAGACCACAAAACGGCCGGTACAGTTATATAGGGTCTGTGGGCTTATTACGAACTCAAAACGTCAAGTTTGACAGGACATTTTTCAGTCATAGATAGCAGTACCCGTTACGAACTGCAAATAACAAATTTGAAATAATTCTGCTTAAATGTGTGACCCAAATCCGGTCTAAAATTGTTACTAAATTCTATCAAAAGACCACAAAACGGCCGGTACAGTTATATAGGGTCTGTGGGCTTATTACGAACTCAAAACGTCAAGTTGGAAGGCATTTTTTCAGTCATAGGAAGCAGTACCCATTGCGAACTGCAAATACCAAATTTGAAAAAATTTCTTTGAAATGTGTGACCCAGATCCGGCCTAAAATTGTGACTAAATTTTGCCAAAAGACCACTAAACGGCCGGTACAGTTACATAGGGGCTGTGGGCTTATTACGAACTCAAAATGTCAAGTTTGTCCGGCAATTTTTCAGTCATAGGAAGCAGTACCCATTACGAACTGCAAATACCAAATTTGAAATAATTCTCTTGAAATGCGAGACCCAAATCTGGCCAAAAATTGTGACTAAATTTTACCAAAAGACCACAAAACGTCCGGTACAGTTATATAGGGTCTGTGGGATTATTACGAACTCAAAACGCCGAGTTTGACAGGCAATTTTTCAGTCATAGGAAGCAGTATCCATCAGGAATTCGAAATACCAAATTTGAAATAATTCTGTTGAAATGCAAGACCCAAATCCGGCCTAAAATTGTGACTAAATTTTACCAAAAGACCACAAAACGGCCGGTACAGTTATATAGGGTCTGTGGGCTTATTACGAACTCAAAACGTCAGGTTTGAGAGGAAATTTTTCAGTCATAGGAAGCAGTACCCGTTACGAACTGCAAATACCAAATTTGAAATAATTCTATTGCAATGCGAGACCCAAATCCGGCCTAAAATTGTGACTAAATTTTACCAAAAGACCACAAAACGGCCGGTACAGTTATATGGGGGGCTGTGGGCTTTTTACGAACTCAAAACGTCAAGTTTGACAGGTAATTTTTCAGTCATAGGAAGCAGTACCCATCAGGAAGTCCAAATACCAAATTTGAAATAATTCTATCGAAATGCGAGACCCAAATCCGGCCTAAAATTGTGACTAAATTTTACCAAAAGACCACAAAACGACCGGTACAGTTATATAGGGATTGTGGGCTTATTACGACCTCAAAACGTTAAGTTTGACAGGCGATTTTTCTGTCATAGGAAGCAGTACCCATTGCGAACTGCAAATACCAAATTTGAAAAAATTTCTTTGAAATGTGTGACCCAAATCCGGCCTAACATTGTGACTAAATTTTAGCAAAAGACCATAAAACGGCCGGTACAGTTATATAGGGGCTGTGGGCTTATTACGACCTCAAAACGTCAAGTTTGACAGGTAATTTTTCAGTCATAGGAAGCAGCAGCCATCAGAATACCCTATATCTGGAGGTACAGTTATATGGAGACTATACCGTAACTTGAACATTCCTACATTTGATTTTTAAGGAGCGGATTTTTAAAATCCGCTTTCATTTTTTTAATTTAAAAAACAATCCTGCTCTTTTCTTTTTGTCTAGCTTTCAATTTAAATGGTTTAATGCCCCAAGCCCATATGGAGTGTCAATTCAATCTCACCAATGCCGTTGATGGCGGCTATGCACCCATGGCCCTACAGAGTTTTCCCACCCTACTGGCGGTGGCCATGAATCTATTCAATCATGTTTTAATTGTGACTTTGACCTCTTACATGGTCTACAAATGTTGGCTATTGGAGTTTCAAAAGACCGCCCTGCATGCCCATCTCTGTACAATTGGGGTAAGTGTTTTCGAACACCAATGTTTTGAAATCATTTTTTTTTAAAAGTTTTTCATTATCTTCTTCTCCTTTCAGTTCGTACTGCTAATGGCCGAGGGGATAATGGTGCGCTATCGTGCCAACATTCTATTCGATGACTATTCGCCGGAGAGCAAAACCTTGATGCATGCCTTGCTCCAATTTATGGGTGGATTTTTGGGTATCATTGGTACGCTGCAAAAATACTGGGGCAAGGAGATCCATTTCAAGTCGCGCCATGCAAAATTTGGTGGGTGTCCGTATATTTCACTAGCCCTTGGAATGTTTAAATAACTGCTTTCCTTCATTTTCTCTCTCCCCCTAGGTTTGGCCGCCTGCATATTTTGTTTCATCAATTTCATTGCCGGTTTCTGTACCCTGATATTACCCTCCAGCCGTGCCACCATGAAGCTATTACACACCTCATTGGGTCTACTCACCTTTGTCACCGGCATGTTGGCCCAAATCTTTGGCTATGACACCGGATTCTTCCAACGCAACTTTAGCCATAAACGTCTCTTCAAATTTGTCACCTTCGTCATTATGGCCATCTCCATAATTGGACCATTCAAAATGATGACCTATAAAATGCACAGCACTTTTATGAGCAGCATGCCTCAAGCAAATATATGAGGAGGTCTTTTGAGGTGGTCAGGTGACGACCAGAAAAAAACTGTGATTTTAAGATTATTGTTGCCCTTTCGAAGGTTGGGGGCTTTGTTTGATTTTTGTTTAGTTTTTTTATTGTTGTAGAGTAAATAAGTTATAATAAATAATAGTATTAATTTTTTTTAATAAAAAAAAAATGATCAAGTTCAGACATAATCTTAAGAATATTTATTTTTTAAGACCCTTTAAGGGCTGCTTGAAATTCAATTTGCAATTCATAGTTAAAGGAGTATCAATCGGTTTCTCCGACAGATGTATAGCCCCAGCCTTGACTCATGATTATTCAAACTTATTTACTCTTTATGGGCTATGCCTGGCCTTGACTTCCAGCTTTTTATGGACTTGCACCCTTGGATACAGACTAAAAAGCAGTAAGTTCGGCCGGGCCTATACCAGTTGGAACGAATTTGGAAATTTTAAAAAAATAAAATCCTTAAAAAATTCTGTTAAAATTTTAAAAATATCCGAATATAGCCGTTATATTGGGGTCTATACGACGTGGACCCCAAACATGCATAGGCATTGTTTGTCATAAGCCGTTAACATATTCAAATTCGAAACTTGAAATAAACGGTGAATAATGTAGAAGGAAACGAGATAGACCCATAGCTACTTTTGAGGATCTCCAAAGAATCACTTTCTGAGTTGATTTATGCATGTCAGTCCATCTGTCGATGTATTCTTGTGAACAAAACGCAGGTCGCATTTATTATCCGATTGAGATGAAATTTTCCAAACAAAATTTGTTTGGCCCATGGACGAACCCTATTGAAATTTGAAAGATAATCGGTAAAAATTTAGATATAGCTCCCATATATATCTTCGTCCGATTTGCATTTTATTGTGCACCAAACGTGTAATATCAGCCCGAATAGTATGGAATTTTGCACATACAACCAAATTAGGCCTGAAAAAAGGTTTGCCAAATTTGATTGAAATCGGTTCAGATATAGCTATAGCTTCCATATATATTGTTCATCCGATTTGTTATATTTGTTAACCACAGCTGTAATATGCACTCCGTAACGACGATTTTCAGGGAAAAATATCAAATACAACTCAGAAATATCTTTGCCAAATTTGATCGAAATCGGTTCAGATTTGGATATAGCTCGCATATATAACTTCGTCCGATTTCGCGTTAATTGTGCACCAAACGTCTAATATTTGCCCAAATGGGATGGAATTTGGCACATGCGACCGAATTGAGTCTAGAAGCTAGTATGCCAAATTTGATGAAGATCGGTTCAGATACAGCTGACTTTAAATAATAATTATAATCATGGCGTGTATGATTAAATTCTCCCATAAAAAACTTTTGCCATGTGGAGCTCTACTAAATTAGCAAAGTAGTGTAGGGTTTATTATCTGTTGGTCCTTTATTGGTTCTTTAAAAAACACATGTTTATTGGTCTGTTGGTCCTTGAAAAAAAAAATCCACGTTTATTGATCTGTTGGTCCTTTATTGGTCCGTGAAAAAAATCCAGCTTTATTTATCTGTTGGTCCTTGAAAAAAAAATCCACGTTTATTGATCTGTTGGTCCTTTATTTGTCCGTGAAAAAAATCCAGCTTTATTTATCTGTTGGTCCTTGAAATACAAATCCACGTTTATTGATCTGTTGGTCCTTTATTGGTCCGTGAAAAAAATCCAGCTTTATTTATCTGTTGGTCCTTGAAAAAAAAAATCCACGTTTATTGATCTGTTGGTCCTTTATTGGTCCGTGAAAAAAATCCAGCTTTATTTATCTGTTGGTCCTTGAAAAAAATCCACGTTTATTGATCTGTTGGTCCTTTATTGGTCCGTGAAAAAAAAAATCCACGTTTATTGATCTGTTGGTCCTTTATTGGTCCGTGACAAAAAATCCAGCTTTATTTATCTGTTGGTCCTTGAAAAAAAATCCACGTTTATTGATCTGTTGGTCCTTTATTGGTCCGTGAAAAAAATCCAGCTTTATTTATCTGTTGGTCCTTGAAAAAAAATCCACGTTTATTGATCTGTTGGTCCTTTATTGGTCCGTGAAAAAATCCAGCTTTATTTATCTGTTGGTCCTTGAAAAAAATCCACGTTTATTGATCTGTTGGTCCTTTATTGGTCCGTGACAAAAAATCCAGCTTTATTTATCTGTTGGTCCTTGAAATACAAATCCACGTTTATTGATCTGTTGGTCCTTTATTGGTCCGTGAAAAAAATCCAGCATTATTTATCTGTTGTTCCTTGAAAAAAAATCCACGTTTATTGATCTGTTGGTCCTTTATTGGTCCCTAAAAAAATCCACGTTTATTGATCTGTTGGTCCTTTATTGGTCCCTAAAAAAAATCCACGTTTATTGATCTGTTGGTCCTTGAAAAAAAATCCACGATTATTGATCTGTTGGTCCTTTATTGGTCCGTGAAAAAAATCCAGCTTTATTTATCTGTTGGTCCTTGAAAAAAAATCCACGTTTATTGATCTGTTGGTCCTTTATTGGTCCCTACAAAAAAAATCCACGTTTATTGATCTGTTGGTCCTTTATTGGTCCCTACAAAAAAAATCCACGTTTATTGATCTGTTGGTCCTTAAAAAAATCCACTTTTATTGATCTGTTGGTCCTTAAAAAAATCCACGTTTATTGGTCTGTTGGTCATTTAGTAGTCCTTGAAAAAAATCCATGTTTATTGATCTGTTGGTCCTTGAAAAAAAAAAAAAAAATCCACGTTTATTGATCTGTTGGCCCCGCCCCACTTTAGGACTTTCTTTACTGGTTTAAAATGTCATTTTAAAGCTCCTCAGAATATTTTCATTATCTACTTGTTCCATATATCTTTCTTTATCCTCAAAATACTCCTCAAAATTGCTCATGTCAATATTCAATACACCTCCGATGTTATTAAAAATCTCTTTCAAGGCTCCTCCAATTTCACCTTAAGAACTTTTCCAATCATCGTTTGTAGCTCTCTTGAAAGCCTCTCCTCGATTTGATTTTTCCGATTTTCATACTCGAAAAATAATTCAATTTCCAAGTGCTTTATTCTCCAAATTAAATAGGGGGAGATTTCGTAACACAGATACACGTTTTTTTTCATAATATTATTCACTAATTACACTACACATAGTTATATTGATCGAATAGATTATATATAGAAATTGGCTTGGGAATAGGCTCCAGCAAATGCCATTTCAATTACTACAAACTAGAGTACAATATATAAGAATGTAAATCGAGGGCGTAGTTATTTTTTAAAAATATAAAACGAAATAATTAATTATTGTTTTCCTTTTAACGGCCTTTACGCTGAGTGGCCGAGATAAGATCCAAGGCTTCAGGTATATTGCCATTAACACTTTCCAGCAATTGTGTCAACCAGGCACCCTCATTGCTGAAACCCATGGACATCATGGCATGAATCGAGCTATTGATGAATTCATCTAAAAAAATGAAATGAAAATAAATTAAAATTAAATCATTTAAAATTGGTCTCCATATCTGCCACTTACCCTGATGATAAACCGGAACATTACGCTTCTCCTCGGGTTTGGAGGGTGTGGAAGTTTGTGTTTGTTCGGCTGGCTTTGGGAAAACAGGAACAGCCCGCATTTCAACTGGAACCTCACCACTGTCCGCTTTACGTTCTTCCGTTTCCATTTTATCAATGTGAGCCTTGAGATCAGCACTGATTTGAGCAAAGTCCATAACTTTGGATTTATCCAACGATTTGGGTGGTGTTGTGCTTGTGCTGGCATTTACCGAAGTTGAGGGACCATCTGTAGTTGCTCCTGCTGCAGTTTCGGGGCTAGCCTCCTTGGAGGGAGCATTCAATTTAATGAATGATTCCGAAACGCTATCACTCTCACTGTCACTACCCAAATCACTGACATCCAAAAGGCCATTTGTTACTTCTTCTGGGGTCTTCTTGGTCTCGGCCTTGTTGTTTTCGGGCGCTTTAGAAGCAGTGGTGCTTGTGTTTGAAGTTTTCGAAGAATTCATGGAATTTTGACTATTGCCCGATTGCTGTGAAATGTTGGATGATCTCCTTAGGTTGGCAGCAAAGGGACATGAGGCTTCACCACCCTCAGCCCCATCCATGGGGTCAAGCATTTTAGCAAACATATCATTGAAATTATTCAGAATTTCCATTCCACCTTTGAGCAGTTTGGGATCCAGCAATTGCACAAAATCTTGTAGGGATGGTGTGGCCGACATGGTGGGTGTGGCCTGGGCACTGGTAGAGGGTGTTGAGGATTTTGTTTTATTTTCCTCTTGTTTATCAGCAGATGTTGTAGAAGAGGGACTGGCCTCCTTGGCTGCAGCAGCCAAGCTAGTTTCATGTATAACTTTGGCCGCAATCTCGGCTGACTTTACAGCGGCTTCATGGGCCTTTAGGGCAGCTGTATTTGCTGCCTCGGCTGCAGCCTTGGCAATGGCCTCATTCACAATATTTTCAGTTGGCGTTTTTGTGCTTTCTTCGGCAGCAGGAGCAGAAGCTGCTGCAGCAGCTGCGGCGGCCGCGGCGGCTTCTCCACCACCTTCAGCCAAATCATGCATCATTTCATATAAATGGGACAGGAAGCTATGGCGTGCATGGCGACGTCCATGTTTACGACCACTTTTTTCGCCATCTCCATTGCTGGCAGTGGCATCGCCAGTAGTCGAGGCCCCAGCAGCAGTAGCAGCACATGTTGAGCTCTTCCAACGTTTTTCATGATGACCATGATGATGTTTACGACCCAATTTACGGCCACAGCCAGCACCGGCTGTTATCCAGGCATCCACAACATAGGGACAGTTATTGTTGGGCATACGTATCATCATGTGATCGCCATGGACATGCTTGGCCTCACAATGCTGACACAAATCATAGTTGGGACATTGGATGCACTTGTAGCGAAAACCAACAATGGGTGCCATCAGACAAGAATCGCATTCGACATTTAAATGGACTGCAGCAGCAGCATCGGATGATGTTGGAGCGTTGGTTGGACCAGTAGCAGTAGGAATGTTAGTCTCCACCGAAGGAGCATTGGTGGTGGCATCCTGTGATTTATTTACGGCTGGAACCTCCTTATCATTAGCTGATGGCTGCTTGGGGGCGACATACAAATGACGGCGCTCAAAGCACATTTCATTAAAGATATTCATGTCGTTTTGATTGACAATATCGATTTCATCGCCATCTTGATCTAAAGAAATGGAGAATAAAAATTGAGTTAAATATTTTTAAATCCCAGGGGGTATTCAGGAAGGCAATTTAATCGAAATATTTTAAAAATAACATGGAAGGACCTTCAGAAAGGTCCCCTGGGTCGCATTTTGTCATTTAGTCTTGAAAATGAATCAGCCATTTTCATAGGGAACTTCGTTGGAAAATCGACCGTAGGAAGACTTAGAAATCAGACCCTATAATGTCAGCCTAATTCAAATCCCCAAGCATTGACAATTGTATGCAACAGCAGGGTTCCTCAGAGTCCCATTTTGTCACTAAGTTATGAAAACGAACGCCATTTTCATAGGTAAGTTCGTTGGAAAATCGACCTTAGGAAGACTTCGAAATCAGACCCTAGAATGTCTCCAATTCCAAACCCTAAGTATAAACAATTGTATCCAACAGCAGGGCTCCCCAGAGATCCATTTTTTCAATTAGTTTTGAAAATGAATCAGCCATTTTCATAGGGAGAACGAATTCAAATAAATTCTCCACTTCTCCCTATCTATATCTCTCTCTATACGACAGCCAGTTGGCCACATAGTTCAGACCAACAGATGTGTATGTTTGTATAGGGTACTCCCCAACACATGTTTATCATTTGTGGTGTGCGATGACTCACATCAGAAGCCAATTTTTGTAATCTTCTTTGATTATAAATAAAAACAATGATAAACAAATGACATGTGATAAAAGATAAAGCATAGGACTAATGGCCTAAATGAACGTGTGGTTTTTTTGAAATATGGCAGAGGCTAGGGTATAAATCTAGGAGGAACTTTTGGCCATTTGGGGCACAATTAACCTGAAATCGGTCAAAGAGGGTGGGAGCTATACCCAAAAATGAACCGACCTTGATAAAATTTGCAGAGGTATTTCTGAGCTATATCTGATATCTGGTATCAAATGTAATTCTTTTGGGTAGTGCATATTACGCATGTGAGGGACTTAAACACCAAATCGGATGAAACATATATGTGGGAGCGAACCGATTTTCACCAAATTTGATGTACTTGCTTCTAGACTGGATTCGGTAGGATGTACCAAAATTTAGATAATTTGGACTGATATTGACCATTTGGTGCAAAATTACCCCGAAATCGGTTGAAGATATATATTGGAACTATATTCAAATCTGAACCGATCTCGATAAAATTTAGCAAAGGTATTTCCGATCTATATTTCATATATTTCCCTGAATATCGTTCTTACAGAGTGCATATTATGGCTGCCAGGGACAAAAATAACAAATCCGATGAAAATTATATATGGGAGCTATAGCTATATCTGAACCGATTTTCACCAAAGTTGACATACTTGTTTCTAAACTCAATCTGGTCGTAATTGCCAAATTCCATCCCAGTAGGACTAATATTACACGTTTGGTGCCCAATAAATGGAAAATCGGACGAACATATATATGGAAGCTATATCCAAATATAAAACGATCTCGATAAAATTTGGCAAAGGTATTTCTGAGCTGTATTTGATATATTTCCCCATATATCGTTGTTACAGAGTGCACATTATGGCTGCCTGGGACAAAAATAACAAATCGGATAAAAAATATATATGGGAGCTATAGCTATATCTGAACAGATTTTCACCAAATTTGATATACTACTTTCTAGACTCAATCTGGTCGTAATTGCCGAATTTCATCCCATTTGGACTAATATTACACGTTTGGTGCACAATAAAAGGCAAATCGGACGAAGATATATATGGGAGCTATGCCTAAAATTTTGACCGATTATCTGAATTTTGAGCTATTTCAATAGGATTCGTCCTTGGATCAAACAAATGATTTGTGCAAACTTTCATCTGTATGGGGTAATAAAGGCGACCTGTACTTTGTTTACAAAAATTCATGGACAGACAGACGGACGGACATGCATTAATCGACTCAGAATGTGGGTTGCAAAATTAAAGAAGCGATAATGGTGGAGAATCTAATTTAGAAAACGTATTGAGACTAATGGCATTAACACATAAATAACTGTTACCTACACCCCACAACAGAATGTTAGGAATAGAAAAAGGACATTGTATTCTGATTGAATCAGGACTAGATCAAAATTTATGGGCCGAAGCGGCTGCTACTACAACATATCAAAAATATAAAACCCCTAAAAAGTTTAAAAAACACTACTCCAATGGTATGGTCTTGTCGGCAACCAAAGGGTAATCATTTGAGGGGCTTTGGTTCAGAAGCTGTTGGGCTGAACAAAAATGCAACTGGGAAGCAACTAAAAAAAGTTGTGGATAGACACGATGTCATCTCCAGAAATGCCTTTTTAATGTGCCATTGAAAAATATTGAAACTCTGAAATCTGTGGAAGAGGAAGAAATAGAGGAAACGAACCATGAAATCGATGAGGAACAATCACATTATGATGATTATTTTCAAGAGACTGGAGAATTTTTTGGGTTTACTTCTTCTTCAGATAAACAAGAAAATCCTAAATCTGTGGTCATATTCGAAAAGGGCCAAAGATTTAAAAAAATGGTAATCCTGGTCCACTCTGAAAAGAATGTTGTGGGACGGGACGTCATCTTTGATGAAGATAGAACATTAGAAAAATCTCAAGAACAAATACCAGAAATGCATTTTTATGTGTCGTGGGAAAATGTTGAAACCCTGGAATCTGTGGAAGAGGAAGAAATAGAGGAAAGGAACAAAGAAATCGATGAGGAACAATTAAATTCTGATGATTATGAAGACTGAACAATTTTTTCGTTTTACTTCCTCTTCAGATGAACAGGAAAATCCTAAATCTGCCAAAGTTTGAAGAGAACGAGGTAGACCAAAAATTATTAGAACTGGTCATCCCCGAAAAGAAGATAACATGCTGAATAATGTGGTGGAGGATAGTATTCCTAAAACCTATAAAGAAGCACTATCCAGTAAATTATGGGATAAATTAAACCAAGCCATGGGGATGAGATTCGGTCTTATCATCAAAAGATCATTTGAGCAATGGACAAGGATCTTCCGCCTGGATACAAGCCAATCAATGGCAAGAGGGTAAAATTTAAAATGTGGACAATTCATGATCATGTGTCTGGATGCAAGCCAATCAATGGCAATAGGGTAAAATTGCAGGTATTAAAGTCGGATTAGACTCGTTTCGGCTTAACTTTAATTTAGTAAAAATTCTCGGATTTTTTTTTAAATTGTTCCCAGGGATAGGTATTTGCACCCTGCTTCCGAAAAAAAATATTTTTTTCTTTGGGACGAATCCGGATATTTGACCCGAAAGTCCGTCTTCGATACCCGGAACTAGAGTAAAAATATCCAGTAAATTATGTGTCGAATGAAACCAAACCATGGGGATGAAATTCGGTCTAATCATCAAAAGAATATGAGGACAATAAAGGATCCTTCGCCTGGATGCAAGCCAATCTATGGCGAGAGGGTAAAAATTCAAATGTGGAAAATTCAGGATCTTGTGCCTGGATGCAAGCCAATCAATGGCAGTAGGGTAAAATTTCAGGTATTAAAGTCAGATTACATTCCTTTCGGCATAACTCAAGTTTAGTAAAAACTCTCGGATTTTTTTAAAACATTTCCCAGAGTTAGGTATTTGCACCCTTCTTCCGAAAAAAGTATTTATTTCCGAATCCGGATATTTGACCCGAAAATCCGTCTCCAAGACCCGGAACTAGGGTGAAAATACCTAGATCTGGACAAAAATTCCAAAAAACATTCGAGAGCTTTTTCTAAACTAGAGTTATTCCTCCGTTTCTTTGGATATCACTTGGAAGTTTATGAAAATTCAACTTGTCACCAGAATGGATTTTGTTCTGAATTATTATTCACAGCCCACGAAAATTCCAAAATGGTCTCATTATAGGGGGCATAAGCCACAATATTTTCACAGCTAAGAGAATTTGTACTTCTCTTTAAAAACCTGCTGACACGGGCAATTCTCTTAGCAAAAGAATCACATATCAAAGTGCAACATGCAAACACACACACACACACCCACAAATCTATTATTGCAAAATATACTATGTAATTTTTCGATGTTTTTCACAAATATTCTGTGTTTTTTTTTTCTTTTTGTTCTGACTTACCAATCCAATAATAGCGAATTTCACAAGTTTTTTCCTTGTGCTCCTGGAACAGGGAACGATTGATGGTCGCTTTAATGGCCTCAAAGTTGTCCAAGGATTCCTTCAAGTAGCCATTGATTTTCTTGCCATTAGGCGAATTGTAGGTGAATTTCATCAATGATGACATGGTTGAACGGCTTGTTATTCTGGTATACTTTCAAAAAAACTAATTGATGACTATTTTTCTCGTTGGTGTGGTTGTTAGACGGGTTTTCTTTAAAAACTTTATTTTAATGGTTATTGTTTAAAACTTCTTGTTCACAAATAAAACTTGATATTGTATTGCGTTTTAGTTTTCGGTTAATTCTCGCCGACTTCTTTCTTATGGTCTCTGGTTGTTTTCGTTTGATACTGGTTCGTTTATGTTTGGGTCCCTTTGTTTTTATAAGCAACGAACGAACGGAGACGACACACTCAACACACGCACTTGTCGTAATTTTGCTCACAGCAGAAACTATTTCACAATTTCTCTTAAAAATAACTTCACCACTTGTTTGTTTCTCTTTTTGGTTCTCGTTTTTTCTGGAACAATTCCTTCAAAATTTGCAATATCACTTCCAGTTCTGGGACTGATGACTGGGTCTTAAATTGATGACTGGACTTGATTCTTGGTGACTTGAAGTTTTGTTTTGTTTTGATGTGAGAGAGCTGCTCTGTGATGCTCAGTTTTCATTACACTGAACACACGCCATATGGCAGCCATATGAAATTGATATGATAGGGGTGATGCTCAAATTTTAACGGATGGTAAATGCCATAAATTTGTTAAAAGGGCATGGAAATCTAAAAAATATATATTTTTTCAAAGGAAAATACGTGTTTTTTATGGAAATGCCTGTGAGAGGATCATATTTATATATGCTATTTTCCATTACCTTATTTATAATACAAGTCTTTAAGAAGAAATATGTCATAATCGCTGCGAGAACGATTTTTTTAAAATTTAAAATATTAAACAATTTTTTTAGATTAAATATTTTTTATACAAATGGTCTGCATTTTTTTTAACTTTATTTATAAGAACGTTCAGAAGATGAACGCTATAAAATCCACAGTCTCCTTCGTGGTAGAAGAATACAGGTAGATGCATCAACGCTTGGGAACATTGATATGTCAGCACTTTTTAAATGTTTCTTCAAAAATAAGTAGATTTGTATATGTTTTCTAATGCGACGCCAAACAGACGTTGTTGTGAAATGCAGTTTTTATTTTTTTTTTTCAAATTTGAATAATTTTTCATCCAACAATTTCAATTAGAAAATTAGTTTGACAGTTCATTGCAGATAGCATAGTAGATGGTGTCGATGCGAATACTTGTATGCTTCTACCGTGGTCTCCTTATTATTCAAATTACGATTGAAATAAAAGTTGTGTTCCAGAACCTGCAAATTAGTACTAGTTAGCACTAATTCTGCTACAACGCGTTCCCGTACTCCAAAAACTAGCAAAACTTGCAGCTCTCTCGAGAAAAAAATGGCGCTGAGTGGTGCACATTTCTGCTTGTTTTAGCTACATGAATTTGGCCGAGCAGAAATGTGCATATTGTAAATTTGACATTTAATTGGCAGGGCTAACAAGGTTGAAAAATGTATTGATACATTTCAATAAAAAAAATGATCAACTTGAAAACTAAAGGAAAAACTAATATTTGTCGTGCAAAAAACAAAAAGAGAAAATATGGAGCAACTGATGTATCAGATTATTAATGAGGAATAAGATTATTAATTATATTATAAATTATTAATTTTAACCAATCGTTGTTGTTGGCGCTCTTTTCAGTACGGTTTCACCAGTCCGATTTAGGCTGTTTACTTTTGGAATTTTGACATTTTATCGCATTTCTGCTAATTTTCCGTTCCCTTATTTTTTGAGCAAACCTAAATGAGAAAGACATTTCGAACTGTTCTCTCTTCTGCTAGTTTTACTACTAAAAAAGTACTGGAACACAACTAAAGCTAGATTATATTAGTCCAACGCATTCGATAACAATTTGCATTAAATTAACGATAAATCGTTGAATGTGAACTACCTTCATATTGATAACCTGTGAAGTACTCAGCTGATTGCCAACTGTACGTTTACGGTTGGTTATTTTGAAGATTATTATTAAGGAAACCAAAGCTACAGTTAAGTACCGTTACGTTTATAAAAACGACGGTTATCAAAAATAATGTTCAGACGATATCCGGCACAGTCTTGCTATTATTGAAATGAAGACTGGGAACATAATAATCGAAGGTAGGTGCTTGCCATGGGTGCTTACATTCCAAGAGCCCTACAAAAGATACACAGCATTTAAAATCAAATAACGTTTTGGCAAGTGAACTTCCCTAGAGTGCCTCCTAAGACACTTGAGCAGGATCAGGCAAAACGTAATTCCAACCACCTTCAAAATCAAACCCAATGAATAGCAATGCAAACGGAGAATAACAAAACTGGATGAAGCAAGGCTGCATCCTCTGAAATCCTTATGATATGCAAAAAGAGAAAGTGAGAGTTCCAGAAGAGTCAACGTACGTAGTACGTTCAGTGCATTCACATTCAAGCGGCGAAAAAGTCTAGTGTGAACATCAGACACGCGTGCCTTCAATGAATGTAATTCTCTCCACCTTCAAAATCAAACCCATTGAAAAACAATGTAATCAGAGAGTAATAAAACTGGGGAAAAAGCTGCTCTGCACTAGTAGCCTTTATCAGCATGTGAGGTGAAATTCCCATGAAATGCAAAAAGAGAGGCAAAGTTTCAAAAGAGCCATCGTACATAGTACGTTCAGTGCATTCACACTCAGGCGGTGAAACTGTCCAGTGTGAACAGAAGACACGCGCGCCTTCACTGGACGTAATTCCCTCCACCTTCAAAATCAAGCCCAAATAATGTAATCAGAGAGTAAGAAAACAGAGAGAAGAAAAGCTGCTCTGCACTAGTAGACCATCATCAGTATGTGAGGTGAAATCCTCATGATATGCAAAAAGAGAAAGGGAGAGTTCCAGAAGAGCCAATGTACGTAGTACGTTCAGTGCATTCACACTCAGGCGGTGAACAGTCCAGTGTGAGTACCACACTCAAAGAGCATTAACTGTGAATATACAAATATTTAAAAACAAATCAAGAAAATAGTTTTGTTTGAAAAACTAAAAACTTGAGAAATTCCACGGTGTAAATGTTGCATTCCCAGAAAACGCCTGAAAGTATGCTTTATTTTTCATATAGCGAATGTAGTGCAACGCATAATTTTCTTTAAAACACTAACAACAAATAGAAGTGTGCAGCAGCCGGTAAGTAATATTAAAAACAGAAAAAAAACAACAAAAACAAACAACAACAAAAAACTACTAAAGAATTTTAGCTATCTGTCTATGATTGAATCCTCAGATATAAACAAATAGATGTGGCCATTAGAATTGTGTAAAATTAATTCGAAGAGATTTATTTTCTAAATGAGCAATGATTTGATTTTGATGGATTTTTTACAAATGGGCCGCGTGAATAAATTATTAAACATTCCCATTTCATTTTAATTTATATGTTATTCGGTTTTCGAATAGAAAAAATGATAGAATTTGGATGATCTCCTCGATGGCTGGGATTTCAGTTGCTTTTCAAGAGTGGTTCGGTGCTAACACCCGGAATGAGCGTCAAAAAAGTGTTAATTTTCTGTGATAATTAGAAATTAAATGAATTAAAATTTTGAAAATTACAATAAAACAATAGAAAATGCATTTAATTTACATCAGGTTGGTGTGTGTGTGTTAAAAAAATTGAGACGTAGATTTTTTAAAGAATATTTTTTTAAAAGACCTTCGAGAGGTGGATTTAAAAAAATAATAAAGAATACTTTTTTTAAGAGCCTTCGAGACGTGGATTTTTTAAAGAATATTTTTTTTAAAAGACCTTCGAGAGGTGGGTTTTTTAAAGAATATTTTTTTCAAGAGCCTACGAGGCATGGATTTTTTAAAGAATATTTTTTGAAGAGCCTACGAGGCGTGGATTTTTTAAAGAATATTTTTTGAGGAGTCTTCGGGAAGTGGATTTTTTAAAAGATATTTTTTGAGGAGCCATTGAGATGTGGATTTTTTAAAAAAATATTTTTTGAGAAGTCTTCGGGACGTGGATTTTTTAAAAAATATTTTTCCGAGAGCCTTCGAGTAGTGAATTTTTTTTAAGAACATTTTTTTAAGAGTGTTCGAGATGTTAATTTTTTAAAGAATATTTTTTCCAGACGTGGATTTTTTAAAGAATATTTTTTTTCCAAACATGGATTTTTTAAAGAATATTTTTTCCAAACATGGATTTTTTAAAGAATATTCTTTTTCCAAACGTGGATTTTTTAAAGAATATTTTTTTTCCAAACGTGAATTTTTTAAAGAATATTTTTTTTCCAAACGTGGATTTTTTGAAGAATATTTTTTTATTTATATATATTTTTTAAAGAATATTTTTTCCAGACGTGAATTTTTTAAAAAATATTTTTTCTAGACATGGATTTTTTAAAGAATATTTTTTCAAGAGACGTGGATTTTTTAAAGAATATTTTTTCAAGATACGTGGATTTTTTTAAAGAATATTTTTTCCAAACGTGGATTTTATAAAGAATATTTTTTTTCCAAACGTGGATTTTTTAAGAATATTTTTTTTCAAACGTGGATTTTTTAAGAATATTTTTTCAAGACACGTGGATTTTTTAAAGAATATTTTTTTCAAGAGACGTGGATTTAATTTTTTTAAGGAACCTCGTTTTTTCTGAAGATTATTTTTTTTTTCAAGTATTTTTCTTTGGATTTTTTAAGGAGCCTCGATTTTTTTGTAGATTTTTTTTTAATGATTTTATCATTTATATTTTTTGTTTCTATTTTAGCCTTTTCCTGATTTTCATTTTTCCCTTGCCAATGAAATGTCAAATTAATTTCGAAAATGATCCCGAAAGTGCCATAGCAAACAAATCGGCAATTTTGGAAACTTCCACCCTTGGAAGTCCCCTGGCCGCTGAGGAGGATTACGATGAGGGAGACTATGACGACGATGACGATGGTGATGCAGAGAATGAGAATAGTTTTGACGCCACTAATGGCCAGGAGAGGAAGGAAGCCATTGGTGAGGATGTAGACCCTCATAAGGATAAAAACAATGGCAGGAGGCGCCAGAAAAAAATCAAACAACATCTGGGCATTACCTATGTGTGGGGCCAATGGGATAAATGGAGTAGATGTGGCAGTGGGTGTGTCCAAACGCGGAGAAGATTTTGCATAAAAAGGTGAGATTTTGAGTTACGAAAATTTTTTAATTTTTTTTTTAATTTTCCATGGAATTTTCCAGGACCCAATATTCCTCGGACGTGGAGCCGGAGGAATTCCAATTCTATCCGGATCCCAAGTCGGGTCCTATCGGCTGTGTGGGTATTATGAAAAAATTCCGTCTTTGCAATGACGGTAAATGCCCCAATGTCCAGGGTTTGCGTCAGGAACAGTGTTCGGCATTTAATCGTATTATCATTCGTGGCCGCTACTATCAGTGGGAGGCTCATGAGGATCCCTACAACGAATGTGAGCTGCACTGTAAAGTCAAAGATTCCGATTTGATGATGAACATGAATAAATCGGTCATCGATGGGACACCATGTCGCAGGCCGGCCATACACTAT